AAGCATATGCACTTCATCAGTTTGATCATCTAAAAGCTAGGGCTGTCCATGCATATTTTTTAGACAAGTTCTCTCTTCTAGGCACTTCTGTCACAAACTTAATTTTTCTACAATAGAATGGCTACAGGAAAACAGGATTAGGATGGATAAGGACACATGCTAGGTGTCCCACTGATGATTTCTTAAATGCAGTATATGCTGTCAGTATTAAAAACTTAAATGGAAAAAGTAAGAAGGAGAACATACACCAAAGAAAGATCACACAGCTGTACTGAATTTTGACAAGAATTCCTTATATAGGATAACAGTGCTAGGATATTTCACAGCTGATAGACATTCACATTTTTATTTAATGAATATGGAGTAAATTGCATTTTGTCTATTTATATAGCATAATATGGATTCCCTTTATTTAAAAAACTTAAAACATATGAGTAAAAATAGCTTAGTATTTTTCTTCATTACCTCTTACTTAAATAAATGGAGACAAAAAAAATGAAATGGGTTGTCTCCACAACATCTGAGACTCTGCCTAGGCTTTCTGCATTTTGATTTGCTTTTACAGAATTAGGGAAAACACAAAACCAAAAGTGGAATACCATGCTTTAAACAGAAAAGCTGAATACTATACATTTCACTTGTATACAGTTATGCTTGTTCAGCAACTCTTAAATTTTTATAAGATGCTAAACGCTGATCAGTAAATCCCAAGTCCTTTAAAAAGTGATTATAATTCTGACCAAGAAAAAGGAGGCAATTAAAAAGAGCCAGTTCTACAGTTAGCAAGTCTGTAGTCGGAAGCATCCATGTCTGCTTTGAAAACATACTATAAAGGCATTAAAAATACTTAGTGAGGTTTTAGAGTATCAACAAAAAGTAAATCACAGAGCTGCAGACCTCAACACAACCATTCTCCATGAAATGAATCCTTGTTGCAAGTAGATCCTGACCTAACAAGGGTCAGAAACAAACAAAACCAATCCTCAACAAAATTTAGTCAAAGCCCGTATCCAAGTGAGTAATTCATACTTAGAAATGCTTTCTCAGTCTTTTGCCAGACACTTTTTATTGTGGTACAGCAACTTTTCAAGCATTTATAATATTGCACTTGGAACTATATTTGCAAGCTTGGGGAAAAAGAAATTAAGTCCTCTTATTTGTACGAGCATTTGGTTTTCCATTTGCTCTCTCAAATACTTTGTCTGCCAAGAAGGCTCAGGTTTATTACACATATATGTAACTATTAAATAGTTTAAGGTAATGAAGCTGGTTATCTAAACCCTCTTTAATTTTACATTGAAGCAAGAAAAAACCCCTAATTTTCTTACATCTTCTGAAATTAAGAACTATAGGTCTTGTAATGGAAGAATTAAGGGGAGAAACATTTAGAAAGTCTTATCCAGTTGTCCTGGAGGTGGGCAGGAACTCTATTTTGGTTACACTAATTTTTTCACTGAGTATGTTGGTAGAATAGGGGGAAAAAAAAATCTGATTCAGGATGACTAAAATCCAAAGGGAAGGTAAATCTTAGTACGCCTTTGAACAGAAATTTTGGCTACAGGCAGGTGGTTGTTTTTTTGTTTTTGGTTTTTTTTTTTTGTTTTTTTTTTTTTTTGTTTTTTTTTTTTTTTGTTTTTTTTTTTTTTTTTTTTTTGTTTTTGTTTTTGTTTGTTTGTTTTTTTAATCACTTTTTTTAAAAAAAAACCCAACCATATAACAACCATCACCACCTTCTCTTTTCAGGAGATAAGATACAAGTGACTACCCTCCTTCTTTGGGGTTCAGAAGTATGCCACCTCCACATGTTTTTTCCATCCCTAACAGAACTACCACCTTCCTAAAGAAAATGCAAATACTGTTCAGAAGATCACTCTAAAGTCAAAAAGGATAGCATCCCTCACAAATTCCCTCCAACCTCCAGTTATTCTGGGTTCTATTGCAAGTTTTAGTTACAGAACTATGTGGGGACCTTTAGGGGACAACTTTTTCTGATACTAAATTACTAATCTTCCAAAATTAAATGAGCCCCAGTCATTAACATGGGTCCTGATCTTCTCTATCCTTAAGCATCTCAACTTCAACTTGATCTCAAGAGAGGCATATAAATGCAAATATTTACAGGATATAAAAGTATGATCTTTAAATTTTATGGGAATAAGTCCCTATTGTGCTTCAAGATGCAGACGTTTAAGGCAGTGCTGCAAACTGCATTCCAATAAATATAAGAATTTGGGGGGCCGGGCTAGCTCATGCATATCGGTAATGGTGTTTTCACAATTTGAAAATAACTGTGAAAGACAAGTAGAACATTGTTATGAGTTTTACAGTAAAAGCTGTTATTTAATGCTAGAAAATACTCAGTCAGCTTATTTTTTAAAAAATTCTCAATTTCTTATTGACTGACACTAAATTAAATTTTTGAGCAGATTTTGTAGGACTAAAATGATTATTTTCAAACTAAGAAGGAGTTCATATCTGTACAAAAAAAATTGCTCTCATTTTCCATTGTCCATGTTAGACTACTGCTACTTCAATTATGAGCTGTTTCATAGTTATGCCCATAACCGTCAGTCTACAATAAGTTACATAATATACGATCAAAAATGTCAATCAATGCCTTTCTGTTTTTACTCTTCCAAGACCACACAGTTTATAGATCCAAAACTTACAGCCTACCACTAAGCATGTACTTTCAGTGTCCAATGCCATCAAATCACAACATGTAAATGATTATTCATGCAAAAACCCCTTAAATTTAAATGAAATCACAACCAGAGAAGCATGGTTATCTATTGGTTTCACAGATGGGCAATGGATTTTCTTTTTCTTGAGTTTATCACTATAACCTTCTTCAAGGCTTTTTAAGTAAACATTTGTACAACGTCAATCAAGGCAGAACCCTTTCTGTACTTCCATAGCATTTGCTTGCCTCCAACAGAAAACAAACTCAGTTAGTTTGCTGTTAATTTCAAGAACAGCATTGTTGTTTTGCTGTGAAAAATCTGAAATACAGAACTGTTCTTTTTGCTTCATGTTCTCTTTCCCATATTTTACCTGTATTAGGATTCTGGATCAAAAGCTTTTGTTTCATTAACTTGAAGAACATTGTCTCAGGAACAAGGTATAAACAATCAGAGGAGTTACACATCACAAGGTCAACTAAATTCTCCTTCTCACCTCCCACTTCAGTGGGAGTTTGGACAGGTCTTAGTTTATAAGGAATGGTATAGATTCACTACAAAGGAAGGCATTTTTAGTCTAAGAAATTACTCCATAGTCATACTTACTTAGCACATCTTCATCAAAGAGCCAATAAATAGCCTGTTACCTATTTCAAGAAGACAATTAGTTCCCAGTGCTATTAAATATAATTTTATAAGATAAGCTTAATGCCTTTCAACTTTAGCTGAGCTTTGGCCTTCCTAACTCCATCCCAGCATACTCAGACATCATTTCTACATTTCTCTTGGGTAGCTAATGCCTGCTTTCATGTTCTCTGTATTTCCTTTTTTGTGTTGTAAGGGCCCAGAGCTCACTCTTAGGAGCTCAGCTGCTTGCACTTACAGGCAGCTCTCTGATATTGATCCAGACTGTCGTGAAGAAAGAGCTGCTTATGATAGACCTGTAAGAAGCCACCTCAGCAGGGGATCCCCTCACATTACTCAAGAGCTGCTTTTAAACTGAGGCTTTTAAGCAGCTCCCAGCCTGAGCTTGACTGCAGCCATCCCTGTGCCTGGGCACATACCCCAGCTGACGCACACCTTGACTCACAGGCTTTACTTACTGGCTTGACCTCAGACCTGTCTCGTTACTATTGACTTGACTGGTGTCACTGGACTGTTGGCTGAACCTGGTGACTGTTACCAGACATGCTTGTGCCAGCTAGCCCTCCCTCACCTTCCTCTTGCTGCTCCCCGACACATCCAAGCTCAGTCAGGCGTCTGCCACACTTGCTTAATTTTCTGCATGCCAAAATGAGCCATTCCTGCGCTTTGAGAAGGTTATTCTTGACGATCAACCTGCTCTCCAGAGATCCTTTGCAATTCAGACCAGTATATCGTTTGATCCTACCAAGCAGGTCCTTTAACAAGGCAAACATGTTCTTCTGTAGTACAGGGTTCTAATCCTACTACTCATTTTGGTCACTTCTTTCAGGACTTTAGCCTCCTGCCCCAGACCACATTCACAACTAGTTCTTTGTTTGTAAGTAATAGATCTAGCTGAGCACCTCCTCTACAGAAAGCTTTTTATACTCTCAGGAAACCTGCCTTTTTATTTCAAGTCAGTTTAACAACCTCTTTCAGTTATGGCAAAATTTGGGTTTAGATAAGCTACAACAGAAAGCAATTCCCACTTCTTCTGTACTTACGCACAGAGCCTTTCACCCACAAGTAATACCACAGCTGACTCACTTGGCAACTCCCTCATTTTTCGGCATGGCATCCACATTTTACAATCCACTTGAAAAAGGACATTTACTCACCTGTCAAAAAATTCACATGCCACTTTCACTGCATAAACGTAGAAAATAATGCTCTTTAGCAAGGTACGAACATAGTGCCAGAATTGATAATTGCATTTTGTTGGGTTTATATTCCTCATGGGGCTTCTGTCACATCATGAGGTCAGGAGGAAGTGCTGGATCATATATTCCCACCAATCTTTGTTTGCATCTCCAATAGCTGAGCAGAGTTGTACCAATATAAGCCATTTTCCCCACTGGTCAACTGACATAACACGTAGGACAGTTACAGCTTACACTGAAGTTGTTAGCCACTGCTAAATGCTGCATTCACACATATACACTGAGACTATTTCTTGGCTTTCACAGGACTTACACACTGACCTCAAGTGTTCTAAGTACTAAGTACCACTAGCACCTGTATTCAAATTTGTCTGTTAGTATCAATGGATGAAAAAAAAGTAGACACTATACTGTTCTCAAGTAAAGTAACTATGTTTATAATCATATTATCAGAAAAGGGACTAGGCAGTCTCACCTTGCAATGATTCACCGGGTGTATCAGTTGATGTGCTAGCATCTGCCGATGAACTCTGAACATCATCCAAATTCTTTTCTTTGGATTTTGAGTCCACATTTCTGAGAAATGCCTCCTCTTCTCTATGCGAAGTATGTACAGGAGAAGATGATGAAGTTTCAGCATAGAGTCGTTTCAGTACTTTCCCTATGAACACTGTGGGGTAAGAAAACTTTTTTAAACAGTAAGAAACTGAGTGTTTTAAGACTTTAAAAAAAACAACAGCTAATTGATACAAGATATATTCCCTCATATTCCATGCAACTCTGTCTCGAGTAGTCCCCAGCTCTCAAGGTAAAGCTGAAAATAATATATTAAAGTCCTAAACTTGAGTCAGAAAAGCAGCTTTAAAACCCCAGAGTTCACCAGCAAGATTAAAGTCTTCTGTTTGACTACATTTTGAAAATAAAGTAATACAGTACATATACAGACTACACACACATTAATTTTTTAAATTTCTTTTGAAACAAGTATCTTCCCACACAAGTGTTTTAAAGCTGCTCAAAATGAAGGTCTCTTCTGGCACAGAGGCATTGCAATTGAATCACTCATTAAAATTGGTAAGCTACAACTATTTAATCACATAAAAAGACCCTAGAAGTAGACAGCAGCAGAAACACATGGTAACCCAATTATTTCTACAGAATTAGCACTATTCTTATACGCCTCTTCCTCTTATGGGCCCCTTTCTGACGACACTGGCAATCTGCTACTAGTTACTCAAATGCAAGCATCATTTGATTAAAGAAAAGAAATATATGCAAATAATCTACTCATCAACAACACTATCATATTTACATGGATGCATGCATATTTCAAATCACTTGAAACTAGAGATTATATTAAAATATAAAGTAATATTAAGAAAGTTATCTATTGTAAAACAACATCACCAGTTTCATGAATTCTATATGGTGAAGCAGATATTGTGGTACAGCGGAAAGAAGGGAAAAAGATATATTTGGAGAAAAATACGTTATCTAAACTCCAATTTTAAATTTAATATACAGTGTATGGACACTATACATGAAACCTGGTGCAGATTCTTAAGGAAATAATTCTGCCAAGAAAAAAAGGACCTACGTTGTTGTAAGAAGAATAGCTTAACAGAACACCATGCTATCATCACATAACTCTCTTCAATAAATTACTTCCTTCACAACTGAAAAAAAAAAAAAAAATCACCTTCACTGAGCTAGGAAATCCTTGAACCACCAGTCTTTGATAAACAAACTCTACCTCCACATGTACTTTGGCAATACACTTCAATTGTGTTGTAAATGACTAACTATGGGGGAGTATGTCTTGTTACAACTTTTTTGACCTCTTACTGGTTTATATGTGATCACTTACTCTTTGCTTGTGCTCAGTCTCTTGACTTATTGGTGACCTTATAAAAGGCTTATGACAAGATGTCAGCCTAAAGAAATACTTGTGCAGAAAGCTTTGCTTATGAAGCCCAGATTTTATTTTTTCTATGCTTATCCATCATTCAGTGACATGAAAAAAAACTGTGACAAGTTGTCAGTGATGTCCCTATCAAGTAACCACAATCCATTTTGCAAGCTATGTGTTAAGGCTTCTGTTCCCAGCATGACAGACATCAACAAGTGACTGCGTATTTTCTTTTCTTAAGGTTCCCTTGCCAGGATATTCTACAGCTAGGAAGGAAATCCACAATTACTCTTCTCAGAGGACAACTAGAGAAAGGAGACAGAAAAAAGCACTGTAATAAGACAAAGTTAACTGCCCTTTACAGATCTCTGACTCTAAAGCAAGTTATCCAAGAAGTTTATCCTGGATCCTTTCCCCGAGTACTGCTACTAACACTACAGCATTTTAATGAACTCCACTAGAGCTGTTACTAAATGTCATGGTTTAACCCCAGTAGGCAGCTAAGTCCCACACAGCTGCTCGCTCACTCCCCACCGCGTGGGACGGGAAATAGAACTGGAAAGATAGAATTGAGACAACTTGTATGTTGAAATTAAGACACTTTAATAGGTACATTAAAAGCTGTGCACATGCAAGCAAAGGAAATCAAGGAATTAATTCACTGCTTCCCACCAGCAGGCAGGTGCTCAGCCATCTCCAGGAAAGCAGGGCTCCATCATGCATAATGGCTACTTGAGAAGACAAAATGCCATCTCTCCAAACATCCTCCCTTCCTCCTCCTTCCCCAAGCTTTTATAGCTGAGCGTGAAGTCATGTAGAGTGGGATATCCCTTGGGTCAGTTGGGGTCAGCTGTCCCAGATATGTCCCCTTCCAACTCCTTATGCACCCCCAGCCCACTCACTGGTGGGGTGGGGTGAAAAGCAAAGGCCTTAACTCTGTGAAAGCACTGCTCAGCAATAAGCAAGACATTGGTGTGTTATCAACACTGTTTTCACCACAAATCAGAAAAACACAGCACCACAGGAGCTGTTATGAAGAAAATTAACTCTAGCACAGCCAAAACCAGTGCACAAATTAACATTCAAGCATTTGCATTGAGGAAACTGTTCTTCTGAAGCAAATGATCATTAAGATACTGATGGATCTATATATGGAAATACATTTTCTCCAAATCTGCTGAGGAGAGCCAGCCTCCTCATACAGTGGATTTTATGCTCTCCATCTTGAAATGTGATTTCTCTAGTCATCTGTTCTGTTGCCCCCACAAAAAATGACTTCACTCTTTCTCTTTCCTTTTTAAAATACAGAGATTATACTCACACTAGCATTGCTTCAGAAATCAATACAAGACCAGTTCTGACACAGTCATTCCTTCTCAATCACATAGGGCTCCCCCCATCTCCAATACCTAACTTGAGAAAGCTGAAACAATGCCTTCCTTGGGAGGCTGTGAATACCGAGGAAAGTATTCTTTAACAAAAATCTCCCTTGCTTAGAAAGAAATATCTAGTGATAGATTTACTTCAGCGAAGATGTGGTTTAGCTGCCAACACCAAAGCAGCACCCAATCTTACAGGCTGGAGACTTCAGCAGACATGGGAAGAGGCAGCTGGGTGCAGAGTGGGGGAGTTCCTTGTTGCCTGCAAAGCTTTCACACCTGTGTCAGCACATCTCAGCACTGCAGAGTCCTCTGAAGATGACTAGTAATTCTCAATAACCACAACAGAATGGAAGTGTCACAGCAGTGACATCTAGGCATGACAAGGTCCCTGTTTGGAACCTAATGTACTTCAGGCTTTCTGAAGACAGCAGGAAGCAGTGTATCCCAGCAGTACGCCTTCCTTGAGAGAATGAAGAAGGTGGTTATCACTAGAGAGCAGCTGAAAAAATTGACTGATTTAGTCTGAACTATTTGGAATCCTAAGTATATTCTAGCCTGAAGAAAAAAAAAAATAAAATCTGCCTGCAGCCCAAAACTTTTTGAACAAGTTTGTCCTATGTATCAATGAACAAGGAAATTAGGCTCTGAGGAATATCCTGCCATACTCAGCAGCTTTACTTGCTCCAGAGAAGCACTCTGCTTTGCAGTTAGGAGTCTGAGCTGAGCTATCAAAACATTTTTCAGATGACAGGATGCTCTTTCCTCGGGGTTTTATTGCTGCAATTACTTAAAAAAGTTATCCTGTGATACCCATGACCATTGGCTTTACTGCAGGAGGTTGGTCTGGCCTGATACTACAGAGCAGTTTTTCTTCCCTATTCAAAACTCTCCTTAACTTGATGTCTTTGGCACTACACAGCATCAGAGATCAGTCCATCTGGTAAGAACTACTCAAACCCTTAAAAATAACTACCCCTTAACAGGAGATTACCAATATAGAAAATTAGAAAATTCAAGGAAAAGTATCGACCACCAGAGACATATCTAACCTATCAGAGTTCCAAAACGAGATCTGACTTGCTCTCGCCATATCTGTAGCATAGCCAAGTACATATAGTTATTTCTTGCTGTTGTCTTCCAGTCAACATAACTGATGGAGGATCTATACAGATTCATGTGGTCTTTCAGTAGACCAGTCTGGAAACACTTTTCCACTTTCCACTGCAGACTGATGTCTCTAAACAAGCATATGTAATTTTGAGATGCGCTTTTAAAAGATCTCAAGCAAAGACAAGGAAGACCACAGAAAGATGAGGGATGCACTATCCGGAGTCAGAACCAACAGAAATTGCCACATTTAAATACAGCATTAATGCACAAGGTACAAGGGAATGAATTTAATATATTCTACTGAGTATGTTTTTGAGGACATTCTTGAAAGTTGTATTCACATATTACAAAACCTAGTGTTCCAGTCTGGAAGAGAAAAAATAGTTTGAGGGGAATTATCTCTGGAACTGAGCCTGTAATCAAACAGGAAAGAAATGTGAACAGCAATAAGAAGCCAATTACAAAGTAAAAAAGGGAAGCCTTGTTCCACAGACTACTGCAAATACATATCTCCTCTTAGAACAAAGCAGTCTCTGGAACTAACTAATGAGAAACTGGAAGTGAGAGAGGAAAGCAGATAAGCTAAGAGGTTTAGGGGCCAGGAATGGTAGTGATGTGGATGCAGCTGAAAGCAACACAGAATATTTGTTAGCATTAGCTCTGCATTGCTTTCAACTGTCCTTACTTCCCTACAAAATCTGGGACAGCAGATAGTAGTCCAAGGAGTTTTATAGGGCATAGACCAGTCAAGAATTAATGAAAGGAAGACTTCAGTTCACCCAATCCATTGTAAGTCGTTAAAAACTACCGCAGTAGCTTACCATGGCTCTATTTCCCTGACGTATAATTGATAGCTCATTACTCCCAACCTACCGAAGACTAAAGATGCTTTCTGAGTTCTATATGGAATATATTCTGCAGAGTGAAGGAAAATTTCCCCATAGCTATACGTTACTGAAGGAAGACATAGCTCTGAACACCTGGTCACACAAGGACAACTGGAGGAAGCTCTCAGCCTCTACGTTAGATGAACGTGGCCCAGGCATCACCGTATTTCAGAGTTCTGTGTTACCATAGCAGACTGAGTTGCCATTTTAGTTCAGAGCAGCGTGTGGAAAGATATTTCCATTGCTGATGTCTCCGGAGTCCAAACAGAAATGCAAACAGAACTGCAAAGAAGCGCTTGCCATATTTTGTGTGCTCTTTCACCTCCAGGAGTCTAACAGGACTTTAACACTGCAATGGAGAGATTCTTTATGGTGTGAGATG